AGTTTTCCTTGACACAAAATAATAATCTGATGGATGAAATTACACTAGCACGCCCTGATGTATCTGCGATTATATGTGAGCCAAGGCGTAAAGGTTATCATATGTCCGCAGTGGAGTCGATAAAACTATAAGAATAGTCCTTTTGTTGGCACGCACACGATCGCAAGCTAACCTCACACGGTCGCAGAGTAGAGCCTCAACATCATCATAAATAATGTATCTGTTTGACTGGTTATGATGTATCAGTTTGTATCATGTATTATAGTATTGACTTTATATTATCTGTTTGACTGATTATCATGTATCAGTTTGTGTCATGTATTATAGTATTGCCTTTATATTATCTGTTTGATTGGTTATCATGTGCTATTTTATTAATTATTTGCATTATATGCTTTTCTTGGATGCTCATTATGGTTTCAAAGTACACATGACAAAAGGATTACGTAAGAAAATGCTTGAGAGACTTTTTGGTAGACATTTTAGAGGCGATGCACATGCCTCTACGTCAGGTATTTTTATTTATTTGTTATATCTGTATAGTTCTATAAACTATTAATGTGAGCCTAACATTATTTTTTAACATTTTTGCCACAGGACACAGGCAGTGGAGATGCTCCACAAGACACGGAGGCACAGGCTGATCCTACACAGCATACGAAGATGCCGGCCGCCGCCGCCGCGTGCAGATGTATTAGAGGAGCGGAGATATGAGCCGTATAGCGTAGCTGTAGAAGCTGCGTCACTACCGCCAGATTCTATTCCAGATCAGTGAGTCCACGACCCGGCCAAGGTGAAGGGGGATTAGGATTCTTATCATAATTTGCAACCTATCGCGCAGTGTAGGTATGAACAAGCAAGGCGTAGATGCGTCGAACTGAAAGGTGTGAATAGAGTTTTATAGTTTATCAATTATTATTTTAATTTATATTATCGTTATGGATTGATTTATATCCCACCCAATTTTTATTGTTTCGCAGGTACCAGGTGACCTCCTAGGCGTGGCCGTAGTGCTACCAGGGAACAGAGCCTCATCCCTGATATTCGTCGGAGGGCCGTGATCCGATGGGAGCACGGAGTGCCTGTCAGGGAATTTGCTAATGCTTTCAATAATTTTCTCGCCGCCTTAGCCAGGAGACATGATTTCTTTAACAATTTTCTGACGTGAAGATCACAACGAATTGATGCGCTGGTGGCCTGTTGGAGATATATAAGTGTGAGTCATTTATTTGGATTTTCATCATTATTAGTTATTATTTTATTATTATGTTTAATACATTGATTTGTATCTCCTTTTTTATATGCTGAAGCGATTTTTCTTCCTCGACGATAATATTTATACCTGGACTTACTGCTTCATGCAAATCAATCTATCGTTCAAGAGGTGGTGATCTGAGGTGAAGAAAAAATATTTTGTTCAAATAACAAACGATTGGGAGCGCTTTTGGCGTCTTGACGAGCACGTAGATGGAGTAGAATTTTTTGCACTTTGTGATTACTAGGACACGGCCGAAATTCAGGTATTATTAAAGTACATATTTTCATTTTTTGTTTGAATTTTTATATTTTTTGATTTGACATTGTTTTCTAGGCTCAAGCTAAAATAGCAAGGAGGAACCGCAACGCTCCCCATAGTTACGAGCATCACGGAGGCTCCAGGTCTTTTAGCCAGCATTATCATCAATTAGAGCTTGTGATATATAATATATTAGCTCTTAAATTATCAATTTGAGTATAATTTATGTGTTATGGGTTAACGATATATTTGAATAAAATAGGGAAGGGGAGATCTCAGACATTTTATATATCGTATTCTGACTTCTTGGAGCCCGAATTACACCGATGAAGAGAAGAAGGTGAAGAACAAGGATCTGGCTGTAAGTAGTAGTTCATTTATATAATCAATTTCAAAATAATGCATCATTAAAAAGTTGATTTGCTCGGGTTGTTGTGATATATCGTAGGAGAAATTACATGCCAAGGTACAAGAGCAAATGTCTCAGTCTCATGTCGGTTCTAGCTCTACGGCCCGGCTAAGTAGAGAGGAGGAGAACTCCATCATCGAGATGGTCATTGGACCGAGTAGGAAGAACATATACCGATGGAGAGGATCCGAGCAAAGGCCGCATGAGTCTAGTAGCACCTATGAGTCTGCAACACCACCAGGAACACCAGGAAGCAGTTCATCATATCAAGACTCGATGGAGCAGTGGTTGAAAGTGATTAAAGATTGGCAGTCATAACAAACAACATATCAGCGGCTTGCGGAGGAAGAACGGAGGCGCCGGGAGCAGTAAGAATTGGAGTTCACACAGCTCATGTCGACTCAGTCTCAGGAGGCTTAGGAGGCATATAGGAGACGATTTATGGCGGATCAGGTAATATATATACTTTACTTTTTTAAATTAAATGAATTATATATATATATATATA